CTAAGCGACTGAGCGACTAAGCGACTAAGCGATTAAGCGACTAAGCGACATGTTAATAATAATACAAAATAATAATATTCTAAGATAATTAATAAATAATAAATAATAAAATAATAAAATAATAATAAGTTCGTTCTATAACAGTATATTTCTCTTTTTTTAACTTCTTTTTTGTTTTTGTTTTTTTTTATTTTTCTTCTATTAGATTTTTTTTGGTTTGTTTTTTTTTATATTATAGAAATAGATTATAATTAGCCTTTTTGCCAAAATTTAGATAAAAAATTTTTTAAAAAAAAGATACTTATAATAGACTAATAATGCAAAATCTATAGATTAAAAAGAAATAAAAAGGCTATTTCTATTCTGACAGATATCTAAATAGCAACTAGGTAAGCTATACTTTAGTTTAAAATAATATTGCTATATATAGATATTATAGTTGTAAACTTTGTACTGTACTATATATTCTATAGTTATTGTATAATAAAGTTGTAACATAACTACTTGAAAAAAAAAAAAATTAGTATTAAAATTATACTATGTAATTTTATACATAGAACAAATTTACTTAGAATATAAAGATAGGTTTTGTAGACTATTAGTAAAATTTTATTATATAATAAATAGCATGCCTCTTACTATACTTTTTTTATTTTTTTTATTTTTATTTTTTGTAATCTTTTTGTTTTTAATTCTTCTTTTTCTTGTTTTTATTAAGATAAATATATGAATCCTAAAATATTAGATGAAAATTTTTAAATAGAGTGAATATTGTGCAGAGGTGATGCCATTAATTAGGAAAATCGACAATAATTGATATTGGTAGCATAGTCAATTAAAAAATAATTGATTTTTAATTTAGTTTTAATATCAATCGATTTCAATCAAAGCAATTCTAATCAATTTTAATTAGCAGCTTTATTGTCAATCAATTCTAATAAGTATCGCCAGAGGTGCTGCCTATTTATTAACATTTCTTTCTGTCAATCGATTTAAAATTTTCCTGATATAAATTATTTATTAATGAGATCATGTGATAAACCATTTAGATTTTTTTAAATAATATATACCCTAAGTGCACCCCTTCGGGACCATAGGAAAAAAATTATAAAGTGTGCACTTAGAGAGGGTGTGCATTTATAGAGAGCAAAATATATAGAGCTCTTATAAGTTGGGACTGGGCTATACCGTGCATTTAGAGAGAATTTACATAATCCGTGCACTTAGAGAGGTCTGACTGTAGTTTAAAATTTTATACTATAAAATTTTGGTGAATATTAAAAAGTTTTATAAGCTTTCTATATAAAATTTTATTGTACTACATAAATCATGTCGATTACTATTTGCTATCGCTAACCGCTTTAATAAGAGATAACTAGAGAAACAAATAAAACTTGGATGTCTCTTATAGACAATTCTTCGGATGGATTTTATTATAACTTGTCGCGCCAAACATATTCAAAAATTTTTTCCCTTTAAATTTTGCGTTACTAGCTTATCGGCTTTACTGGGCCCATTTTTTGGTTTAAATTAACTAGTTGATGTCTTTATCGTTTATTGCAGCACATAGCAAATAACGAAGGAAAATGCATCAAAATCGAACTCTAAGTACATATTTATTGATTGATTAAATTATAAATCAGTATCAGGAAAACAAAAATCCGACGAATCAAGAGCTACAATATTGTCGTGTTAACTAAATTCTACAATATATTACAATAATAAATTTTGAATGCGAAGATATTAAAGTAGCATATATTCATTTTTACATAAAATCGTCATAATCATCATCATAATTTCCGTAATCTACCGTATCAAGGATGTCTTCTTTACCTGCCTGAAGCGACGGTTTGGGTTCTGGGATTGCAAAGATGCAAACATAAGAGATTAGCCTACGAAAAAAAACCTAATATGCCTGTAGAATAGATTGAGCTTACTTTTTTTCTTCGACTTTTGAGCCTCCTTCGAAGCTTTTGCTTTTTCATTTGCCACTGTTGCCAATGTGCTAGAAACTTTACGAATATCAACGTCCTTAAGTGAAGAACATAATTCACGGACGAATCCATTAATGAAATTTACGTATAGACCTTGTTTCTATAAACATTGTAGTATGTGTTTAACAACAAATAATAATGTGACTATGAATGAAGCCATAAATATAGTTAAAAAATACCTCATGTTTTCTAATACGTTCAACCAAAAGATTAGAAAATTCATCAAACTCTTCTTTAGTTTTGGGATTTATTCTATCTAACGGTGAACCTTCCGTTTCTAATAATTCCAACGAAAATTTAATTATAAGACTCAAATATGACATATTAATGCTAAATTTTATACCTCTAATTGTGACACCTTTAAACATTCCCTCTGCATTTTCGAGGTCAGCCTCAATGACTGCTTTAGCGTCCCTTTTTTTCTTCTCTAAAAAATCTAATTCACTATCTTCTTCACTATCTTCTTCACTATAATTTTGTTTCTACATAACATATTTAGTAATGAGTTAATAAACTAATATAGGAATAAATTATGAGATTTGTAAAGATGTATAATTCGAGTTTTATTAATATTAGAATAAATACCCTTTTTTCCCTTTCCTCTGCTGCCTGCTTTCTTTTCAGTTCTTTCTCTGCAATTTTTTGTGTGATAGTAATCTTTTTTTTTTTAGGTGTCTCCTCTTTTGGTGGCTTTGTCTTATCTTCATCTTCAGATGAAGCTATATCCCAAGAATCCTATAAATGAAAGGTAAGGCATCAATTCTATTGATAAAGAAGTTTAGCCTTGATATTACAATTATATTACCTTGATTTGATCTTCATCGATATCTTCATTTGCCCATTTTTTTTTTACTGGAAATGCAATAGGAACAGACACTTCATCAGAATCACCGTCTACAAATTTTAGATAGATGAAAAGGTTATAATGAAAATATAATATCAAATGCCGGAATAAATAAACTTTGATTACCCCAATCAGACATGATACTTTGTTTTCTGAGATTTATCGATTTTAATTTCTTTAAAAGATAGTGCGATATGGAATAGTAGTAAAATTATATGATATTATATGCTTCTACTTTTGTAAATTATTGTTGTTAATGAAGTGTTAGAAGAAATTTCCGATTTCAACTCACTAAGTCGAGAAAATTTTGCAATCGACAATACATAATTTTTTTTTGTGTATATCGATATTGTGTAATATCGGAGTTAAACTTAACACAGATACTATATCGGTATATGTCATGATATACATATAACCGATGATTTTCTGCGGCAATAATACATGCTAAATTATACCGGGTGTTTGATAAGTCCCTGAACAGGACCTTTTTATTGATCACTAAATACCAGTATAAAAATACGTAAAAAAAAATTTATACGAGCGGAGATATAAAAAAGGTCCTGTTCAGGGACTTATCAAACACCCGGTATATTCTGATATATATGTCGTGCCTCAGATCAATTCTTGCGTCAGATTAAAACCGGCCTAAGTTAGATTAGGGTTAGGGTAAGAATCTGGGAAGGATTTGGGCTTAATTTAAGTCAATCAATATCGATCAGTTAATGCGGGCCAAAAAGTTGACATCTGACGCAAGCATTAATCTGAGGCACAACATATATATTTTTTTTATAAAATAAGGATTCTGTTATCCGACAAACTCATATGATCATGAAAAACTTTCTTTCTGTTATTTTTTTTTTCATGTGTTACGATGTAATTGTTTTTCCAATATTCAAAAAAAAAAACTTAGCGAGTGACTCCCTACCAATCATGATCATAAATTGTCGGATAACACCATTATTGGCTGGACAAATGATTGGCTGACAAGTGCCGCGAAGCGTCACTTGACAATTTGTCCAGTTGAGCCAAATTGCCGTTATTCACATGTTAACATTGTTATAAGTTTGGATCCTATTTAATAATTTGTTGTACAGTATTTGTAAATAGTAATACAGAAACTTCATATATAATACCTTGAGCAACGCAAGTAATAATAAAACTGTTACATAAAATTTTTCTTTTAGTAGGTTCTAGCAAAAAACCCTGATCATAAATTATCAAAACGCCACATATACTCTTTTTTGGCAAGATCTACTTGAGAAAAAGTTCTTGTGTTTTTAAATAATTGCACTGGTAAATTAATAATTAATAATTATAAATCACAATTATAATTGCAATAGTAATATTAATAGTATATTAAAATTTTATTTTTATAAAAGATCATTCAAAGTACATTAAATCTTTGAAAATTTTTTTATTTTCGAGTACTTCATCCTATATTTACTAACTATTATTTGCACTTTAATAAGTTAATATTTAATTTCTTATTTATTTTAATGATTTCTTTACTTCATACCAAATAGTTAATTTTATCTAACATGCTTGTGATCAAAAATACATATTTATTTAATTTATGCGTTTGTATAAACTTCTTTTTTACCCATATATTTTAAATGTCATTTGCAAAATTTAATTTTTATTTAATCTTCTTATTCAACATGTTTGCTAAAAAAATTTTTGTTAGATTTGTTATAATAATTTTAAAGTTAGCAGCTATATTTTTAAATTAATGTTTAGTATTCTAAATTGAATCTGATTTAGACTTAATTTTTGGATTTTGAATCTAAACCAGGATTATTTAAAACAGAAGCCAGATATTTTTAAAAATTTGTAGAGTATGGCTTGAAGGCTTCTACCTTGGTTCTTCTTGGTTTTCTCAGCTTTAGCTAATTATTATTATTCCTGAAATCTATAGCTTAACCAGATCGGCAGAAAAATTATTGGGCAAATTTTTACAAGTGTTTTAGAAATTATAATATCATGCTTGTTTTTTAGATAAAAGTATTAGTTTATCAAGTACAGTATTTAAATAAGCATATTCATGCTTATTAATATTTACTATTGTTATAGAACGAATTTATTATTAGTTTATTATTTTATTATTTATTAATTATCTTAGAATATTACTATTATCTTGTATTATTATTAACATGTCGCTTAGTCGCTTAATCGCTTAGTCGCTTAGTCGCTCAGTCGCTTAGTCG